CTCACATTGTACGTGCGCTTTAAAAAGGATAAAGGACGAAGAGAAATAGAGAACGATTCATTCTTTTTTCTTTTATCACAGTATTGCACGCAAAGCTTGTACGAAATCGCAAGTAAGACAGCATAAAGGCCAAATGGCAGACACTACACGCTTTCCTCTCAGAATACATCCGGGGAGGGTCGGAATTCTTTCGCAGAGTAGCGAAAAATGTTTTTATCCACTCCCTCATTTCTCCCTCACCTCTCACTCTTTCTTTCTCTGCCACTCTCATTCATACACATTTCAGCATTATTCTTTTACAATCCATGGCAACGACTCCAAACGACCCTTCACATCCATGGTCCATAATAGCTTCGACATATATCCGACAAGTTAGTAACAAAATAATAATCCACACATATACACGTGTGTTGAGTACATCACCTGAGAATAAATCGTGATATATCTCTTCGTTTCCTTCGTAATGTAAAATCCCTTCGGATTTTTTCCCCCCGTTTTCTCTCGCTCAACATTACAATTTTCCCTCTCGTACGGTAGTGCCTTAACAATCTGTCGTTCAACGGAAAAATATAGCGCACGGGCGGTATTACGCTGTCTTGTCCGGGTCGACGCGGATCGGATGGCTTTGCCGTCTTAATATATTAACATCCTAATGGAACGTTAATCTCTTTACGAAAGAAGCTTCGGAAGAAAGTCGCCCTTCTCCGGATAATTCTGTGACACCACACACAAAGAGAAGAATTTCTGTACTCCTCTCGATTCCGGTAGGAAAAAAACAGGAGAAAGAAGTTGAAAGCTGCAGGATCGTCGCCGTAGCCAAAATAAAGTGGATGAAGACGGGATTACGAACGATTTTCTTCTCTCTTCGTGTAGCTTCACCCGCGACGCGAAGGTCCCAAAAAGAGAAAAGAGGGAAATAGTCCAGCTCCGCTCCCACCCCGGAGGGGCGACGAACACACGGCTTTTTTGATTTGCCACCCCGGGACGAAGCTCTCGCCGATGCGATACGACCCGACAATCAGATATCACCGTACTTCACGCGCGCGAAAAGGGGAAACTTTGGCAACAAACACACATTCGCATCGTTAAGGGTTTTTTTTTTTGCAGCTGGACAGCACAGCCTTTCACACGCACAAGATCCGCAATTCGACATGCACAGTCATCTCCCAATCTCGCTCTCTCATTTGTTATCTCACTAATAATAGCGGCATTAACTGTAATCTTAATTGGATAATTCTGCCGTAGCGTTGGTAATAATCATACAATGTTATATCATACAGCGTCGTATGTACAATACGGGAGGAGAATCGTTTCGTTATCGAGTAACAAATTGTACAGCGGCGCGGGACCAGCGTTACGAGGTACATCCGGTCGATTTCCCTCGAGATCGTCAGGAGTACTTTTGCTTCTCGCTCTGCGTAGCTATTTCCCAAAATAGTCGCAACAATCGGCTCGCATTTTTATCGCGCGATTAACGACAATTAAATAGACGGAACTGGATAAACAGGGCAAAGGGAAAAGATTAACTTTTGGTACACACGATGATTTTCCGGTTCTTCATTACACATGAGGGATCATTCGTATCCGGATTAAATTTTCATTAATTTAATAAATATCCATTTCTATCTTCTATGCAGATAAACTTTTAATTTCGATGAAAATTAATTTACTCTTTATCCTTTTCTAATTCTTAAAACTAGAAAAAGATAGTAAAATAAACAAAGATTACAGTTAATCTACATTGATATAAATAGATACAAATATAATTCTTATATACTTTGACATCTTTAGTATTTGGAAAATTATAATATACAATAAACATAACTAATTGATGTTAATTTTTCGAAGAGAAATGTGCAGGACAAACGACGTAATCGTGTGTACTAAAAGTTAAAGGGAATGTCTGTGCAAACTATGCACTTGGGCTAGACTCGAGGCGTCTTTGGAGCGAAGAACATGCGCTGAAACAAACTTCGTTATAATGAATAATGATGCAGATCGATGTGAAAGAAAATAAACATATTTATTTCTTCTCATAAACTTAAACTTTATACAAACGAAAACAGGAAAAGTGGGCAGGGAGACGTACAGGTATTCGTAGTTTTAATGTAGTTTTTCGCTTTTTCTTTCCCTTTTTATATTTTTTTTTCTTTTCTCTTTGTTTCATGTTCGCTCGTTCTTCTCTCCTTCCTCGTCGTCTCGTTTTTCTCAAGTTGCGTCTACTCGTCGTTAACCGCCTGATCTTGATCTCGCGTGATGCAGATCAAAGAGACAAAAGTCAGTCCCGGCCGGTCCACAACGAATTTCCGCGCGTTTTAATATATGTGTGTACGTCGAATGAAGAAAAAAAAAAAAGAAACGTTAAGTAATTATATATACTCTACATGTGCGATGTAGGTTGGCGTAGCTGCCATCCCACACTCGCTATGTACACTGTTAAATGGTCCTAATCTTCTTTTTCCTTCTTCTTCCCTTCTTTCACTTAGTCCTGTTCCACAAGTACATTTGCACTAGTCTTCGCGAACTCTTTATCACTTAGCCATTTGAACCGGTCAACATGGCACAGGCTGAGACTGCATTCAGTTGCATTTTAAGGCGAATGGAGCACCTGACTCTGTTTCTTTTTTTTTTTTTTGTATTTTTGAGTTATAGTTTTTTTCGCGTGTGGAGTCGAAGTAGCTCGGAAAAAGAAAGAGTATCATTCGCGTGAGAGGCAACGACGAGCTGCTCGAGCGATTTTCAAAGTAACAACCGGTGTACCGCGAGATTGTTCACAGCATGTGCAGCATGTCGAGAAATGCGTGATGTGTGTATGTATATACGTGTGTAAAATAAAAATAAAAAGGAAATGAGAGATAAAAAAAGAAAAAAGTCGTGCAGTCCAGTGTACTCTCCGTTGGAGCAACATACACTGTGGAGAGAGAAAGAATCTGGGAGGAGCACGAATAAGAAAGATTAAAAAGAAAGTTTCTCTCGGTCGAAGAAGTGGAAAGGCGGTTCTCGCGATTACACTTTTGGAATGTACACTGTTCGACATTAGCAACTGAATGTAACGTAAAAACGTAATAATTGGGACAAAAAGAAGGGAGGGATAGAGCTAAAAAGGCGTCCAGACAGTCAACGTAATGTCGGAAACGCGTGTCTCCTGCGAAGTTGTTTTAAAAAGGAAAAAAAAAAGAAAGCGAGACACTTCGGGATACTTTGTCAAGTCTGTAAGGTATTTTAGCTGCGGCTACAATCGTACCTCTTTTTTCCGAGTTACTCTCCGATATGCGCGATAAACGCTTGCGTCGTACAATTAAATATCTCGATTTTCTCGCTTATCTCGAAAGCTGTACTTCCAGCTGGAACTATCTCCTATATACTGGACAAAAATGAAAATTATCAACGGAGTACGGCTATCTTTTTTTTCGTTTTTACACAATTTTGATATTTTCGCAAAGAAAGAACGATATATAACAAACTTTACCAATTCTAATTCATTAATTAATAATTAACTCGCGTTATAATACTACACACACTTTCATGCTTTCGTATAAAACTTATCTTCATTATTACCTACGAAGATAAGTTTCTACGATTCGCATTCCACTCATTCTATTCTTCACATAGATGTATGAGACTGCTGTACGAAGATTTTAGAACGACACGTTTTCGCGATTCTGTAACAACGTTAGTAATTAAATCATTTAAAATTATTAGAATGTGTTTTCATGCCCCCGACGATGGGAGGCAGCGTCGTTTCACGACGAGTTGAAAGATGTAACTAAAAGTTAGTTCAAACGCAAAGGGATTATTTAACTTGGAGTATGATATCGTGGACCTACAGTGTACTCTCCTGAGGTTACAGAACTCATAAACTTACGTTTAAAAACCGTATAATTACAGTAGTTAAAAGCGGCAATTATATGGCATTATTTTTTTAGGCTCAATTTTTTTTAGACATTTACAGGCATACGAATTTAAGATACAGCTTATATATCTTTTCTTTTTATCTTCAATTAATTTAAAAGTTCCACCCGTATATATACTTCCGTATATACATATACTATATTACAGAGCGTACATTTCACTTACGTGTTTCATTGAAATAGTAACGTGGTCACGTTTTCTTCTTACGCCTGTAAATTAATGCCTCGGAAAATAAAGAAGAAAATGCAAGAGAACCTTCGCGCGTTTCAAAAATTGACGGATTGTCATTCGTTGATAAGATACATTCGACGAAACGAAAGCTTAGGAACTGAGAACGTATCTCGCGTATAGAGCTTTGAAAGTTGAGTTACATTTAATGAGCAAACGATAGACATAAGATAGCGCACACGAATTATCTTCTCGGGACAATGCCTCTCTCCGCAATCGAACAGCAATCTCACTTTTATGATCATCCGACACAGTCTACACGAATTACGCACACGTCATTCACACTATTTTTATCGATCACAAGCATTTTCTTATAATTATCATTACGAATAATTATCAGTTACTTTTTTTTTTATTAAATAAGCAAGTCTGTGTAAAAATTTAATGTTTTTCGAATATTCAGCATTCTATCTTCACAGACATTTGACCAGACTTTGAGCTTACTTCGACATTTTCGAAACTCAGTTAGTGACCTTTTTTCCTCTTACTATTTTAAATTATCGAATGCTCCACGACTGGAAGAAGTAGCCACTCTGAGTTCTAAGTCAACCACATTATCTCAATATATTACACAACCACGCATTTACATTTTTCTGATTTACAGTCCGCACATCTTAATTTGCATTTATCGAGTAAAGTACGTTAACTGTGTATACATTTTGACCTCCATCATATTTCGACTCATCGATCATCGCTAATCTTCCATGATTTAAGATTATAAGATCGTCTCATCTTAAATCGTTTCATCAGTTTA